ATTCACTTTGGAATTTGCCATTTTTATGTCTCATTATAATGAATACATTAGTTTGTTCGAACTTAAGATTTATATCGTCGGAGTGATGTCTTGTTCGTGGCTGGTGGATATTATTATATGATGTCTTTGATTTTGAGAAGTTTAAACTCTTCAGTGCATAAAACAACAAGGGATCAAGTTAGCTAGTCTGCAGTAATATTTTGACGAGTTACCATTTATATGGGTTTTTCAAATATCCTTAATTACTGGATTGAATTATGAAACAAATTACGTCCATTGGTACCTTAAAATGTATACAACCGTCTCTTTTCCTGAGATAGATCTGTTAACGATGTGTTGATTCGATCGAATGCTGTAGTTAACGTAGTTTTTAAACATTTGCAATTACCAGGTATGAACTATGGAAATAAAAACAATCAGTAGAGGCTAAACGTAAAAAGTCCAACGAAAATGTATTTGTGGGGACAGCTCTGTCAAAATTTTGTTTTGGATTTTACTGAGGGAAAACTACGGGTACTCACTAATATTTTCACACGAGTTAGTAGCCACATGGACTAAGTAGTGCGGCGGCGTTTCAGGTAACAGTTACTTACCTGAAACATGACTGTGAACAGAATTAGTAGAAAAAAAACCCGTAAAAATGGCATGTACCTGCCACTGCGGAAATATATTATTATTAACTAAAGTCCCAAATAAGGCAAGAAGTGCGTTTCAGTACCCTCCGTCAGCAAAATACTGAAAGAACTGCAAATAGTGAGTATGACGCTTATTACCTGGGAACCTAACGATGTATCCTAAACAGAACGAACAATTAAGCTTTGAACTTTATCAACTTCATTATTATTACTATCCACAAACATCTTATGGGTACATAAGTGTTGTGAGGAAACCATTTCAAGTTTCTTCAAAAATGCAATAATACACAAGTTTCAATAATGTTAGCATTATATTTGCCATATTTGAAAAAAAGAGTAATAATAGTAGAATAATAATAAATCAGGTTCTGAATAATTGAGAAGAATATTGAATTGAGTTTAAAGAAGGAAAGAAAGAAAATAAGGGAATATAAATATAGGAGACGTGAAATACTCAAATAGTTAAATAGGCGTGTTCATGGACACAGTAAAGGAATAAACGACTATGTATGTATCGTCGAATTAGTAACAAAAATAAAATAGGAAATAATTGAGGAAAAATAACTTATTATTGCAGTAAGATATGACGCTGGAATAAATGTTTGTGCAGTTATAGTTTGGAGTGATGCTATGAAAGTTTCAATTATGTGAAAAGCGTAACGAAATATCAATATGTATGAGTCATATATACGTAGTGAAGATGCAACGCATCTGAAAAGTCAATTTAAATGTAACACAAGTTATTGTCTTACTTGCAAACTTCGTAATCTTAAGAATAATATTTATTTAGAAGGGAAAAAGAGAGAGAAAAGAAGTTGACACCTAGTGACAGGCTCCAATCATGATAATAATAATTGAGTAATCAATATTTCGTGCCTTAAGGTAACCCTCGTGCTATTGATAGAAGAAACCAGAGAAATAGTGAATAGGTCTTTATCTCGATGTTTGCGCAGTCATAGTGGAGCGTGGGATTATCTGTTCAGACAAACAAAGGCTCTCAACATTCAATATAAGATAATAGGGAATATAACGCTTATACGAAATAAGGAAATGAATGAATACTTGAACAATACTGTCTTAAAGTATGCTTGGTTGTTTGGGGTCAACTCTCAACCAACCAGCCTAAGCTGTTACAAATATCGACCTCTGAAGTAGACCAACAATTTAGAAAAATAAAATAAATCGTTTAATGCACTCGGATAAATACATGTAGATTTATGTAATAGTATACAGAGTGAAACCGGATATTAGCATAAACATTTAAGCAATCATAATTAAGAATGATGCTATGAAAGTCACAATTAATTTCAAAGGATAACCAGAAATTGAATATGTTTAGAAGGATAAAAAGAGATAAAAAGAATATCTAATGTGTCGGGGGACCAATAATGATATTAATAACAGTATTTATTATGGATACGAACATAAGCAGACTTCATATATTAAGATGAATAGAAATAAAATAAAATAAACGTGAAAAGTTTCAAAGGTTACATTCTGCTTTTCAGTCAATTAGATGGATGACGGACCTTGTTTGTATAAATAATTACTAAATACATTGATATTCAGTAGGTGACACAATCCACTTTCGGAAAGAAAATCATCAAGGAGACTTCTGAACCAGGTTGTAGTTTCACTGCAACGGAGGTCCACTGGCAGTCTGTTCCACATGGTTGAAAAGCGAATAACGAAAAAATTATGGCGTAAGTTTGTGTAGGTTCTTGAAATCGCTAAAATATTCTCCTTATTGCGTAGATTGTGGAATGATATCACAGAGTATGAAGGGGTGGATACCGAAGAGTAGGAAATACCGTTAATAAGCCGGTAGATAAAGACAAGGTTTAATTTGATACGTTTGATCCAGAAAGGTTCTAATTTGAGTTACTGACATCTTTGGTGATAGTCTTTGTTGTCGGAATACCCCAGATCAGCTTTGATGAACTTTCTTTGAACACCTTCAATTTTAATCAGGTCATTATGCCTGCAATTACTGTAAACTAAAATACCATATTCAAGAATGGGTAAGATACATTTTCTGTATAATAACAATCTCGATTCGATGTTATTAAAGTTTAGAATTATCAATCCGATGAGCTTTCTAGCTTTGGATACTTGAGATATAATGTGCTCAGAAAAGTTCAAACTGTTGCTATATCTTAAACCCAAGTCACGAACAGTGTTGAGAGGTTTCAGTGTATGTTCGTGTATAGTCAGATTTAGGTCTAGGCAATGTGAATAAATCCACTTTTGTCAGCATTAAGTGGCAAATTCCACGAAACAGTCCATTCGTATAACTTATTTATTTCTTCTTGGGTTACCGCTGAAGTATAACTTTCTTTGATGGGAGATTAGAATGAATAAACTACTTTCAGGTCATTGGCAAAAAGGAAAGGTTTACCATACTGAAAGAGGAAACACATGTCATTGATAAAAAGGAGAAAGAGTAATGGACCAATCATACCTCTTTGTATAACCCCACCAGTTACATTCACAGGTTGAGAATAGCATGATCCAAAGCGAACGATTTGGCCACGTTCTTCGAATTGAACAGATAATTTTGTGAATTTACTTACCACTACAACGGTGACCATACTTTTATGCTGGACACATCACTAGCTCAGGGCACCCACCGAAACATTCGCACCATACCACATTTCAGTTCACCCTGAAAATCTTTTCATCCGATAACTAGTCGGCTTAAAAATTATGCGCAACGATACCTTCACCTATTCTTCATATATTTTCTCCCACTCAGTCATCATCGACTTTTAGTCTTGGCTGTTTTGAGATCATTTGTTTTGTTAGTTAATAAACCCCCATAATAGACAATCTTGTAACTCCTCAACATTGACGAACGCATTAGACTTAACAGACATACTCTAGCTGGAAACGTTAGGTCACTTGGGTTATTCATCCTGTTCATCTCTTATGATAACTATTTAGCCTAAATTGAATTCACCTCTACACATACACCATTACCCAAATATGTTTTCCGACCCATTGGTTTGAGTGGTTCTAGAGATCCATGTAAAAGTATTGGGTTCTGACTGTAGTGTTATAGAAATTGCATATCCCCAACATATCTACTGTCAAATCCTGTAGTATCCTGTCACTCCTCATAAGCGAACCGCAAGTGAAGTGGTTACCAACAATATCGGACCTTGAGGACACTTCAGAGAAGCAAGTACAATAATTTCAAAATGCATTTGGAACAAATAATTTGAGTCACAATGCAGCTGTGCTAGTACGAGTTCGGCAGTCAGAGATCCGAGTGGTAAACGCAACTGACTAATCCTGTTGAGAGGCTAAGGTTTATCAACTTATATACCTTATGTTATAGCAGTTTTTTAAAATAATCTAACACCACTTATTGTATGGTGAATTGTAATCCGGAAGAACACCAAAAAGTTTCAGAAATCCACGACCGACTCCTTTATGTCTGAAGTTATGTTTATTTCTTGGAGACGTGAAATGACGGGATTCCTCACTAGAACGTTATACTGGTACAAATAATGAGAGTAAATGTGTGTCGTTGAGTCTTCCTCGGCTGCAATTAAACGCAACTCAATTTCGTAAATGTGCCCTTCAGCTTAGCGACCAATCAGAATTAGGCGGGAATTATTACATCCGCCATCTTCGTAAGCAATGGCGGTAGGCTTTCTTCGTTCTGTGCTTCTTTCAGTAATTTCTTTTGTGTAGCTACGGAATTCGATATTTCAGTGTGCTAAAATTCAGAAGTTAGTGTAATACTCTGAACGTTAGAGCAAAGTTTTTCCTGATTTTGCTTTGTTTTCTGGGTTTTACCTGCTGCTAATGAAGTCACTGTATTTATTCAGCTAAGCTGGCTAGTACTAACATAAGACCTTACGTTTTCAAACGACAATCGGTTATGTTTTACCTTGTTTTCTAGATATCCGAAGCCGAAGTTCGTTTTCATTTAGCTAAAATAATTGTTGCTGTCGCCTGTGACTCTAACTGTTAGCACGTTCGTTCCTAACTTTCCTTTATGATGTTATCGGCAAAATGAAAGGAAACAGTCTGCGTTTTTTAAATTTTCTTCAATAGTATGGACGACACTATCCCACCAACGAGTCAAACTAATACAGAGTGCCCAGCAGTAGGGTATATCGGTACTGATTTCGAAAGGACCCAGACTTCCGACAACTATAGATGAAGTCACAGATGCTACCAATCTATTGCAGAGGGTTTGTTATGAAAAATATGCCATATAGCAGTAATAGAGGGGTTGTACTCATTACTCAGTGCGTTAAAGCAAGCTTAACATTGAAAAGCCGGAAATCTGCTACCAGTGTCTAGTGTATGTTTGCGGTTTTGGCCATAAAAGGAAGCCGAAGGGTCATGATCATGGAGTAAAAAGCTAATTAACTGTTATTAAGCTCACTTTTTTATAGATCATATTTCACCACTCGCAAATATGCGTTTTCTTACGGTATGATGTCAACTCGTACCTAATATGTTCACCCTCACGATGAAAAGTACCTGCAAATTTTCACCTCCATATTCGAATTATTTTTGGACAACTGTCTAACAGTCTGAGTGCTTCGTACGCCCCGAGAAACTCTATTTCTACAACATTCGTAGTTCCAGTATAACTTTCTCACGCAGTAAGTTCAAATTAGACACTAGTCTTTCTAAATAAGGCTGTTAATCTAATATCCATATTCGCTATTTCAGTTAATCGATGAAGACATGTACCACGTGCATTTGCTGTATACTGCCATTTTACTCCAATTCTAACTGATATCTTACTTTTGAATAATAAAATTGCTATATGCTGCAAATACAGATTTATTTGTTTTGATGGAGGTAGGGGGGTTCATGAGATTTTCACTAAAGAGCTAAGCGAGTGCGTAAACCAGTGTAAGGTACCATACGGGGTGCATTTGAGTTACTAGTGTCCCATTAGTGCGGGTAGGAGCATTGCTTGCTTGTCATATGGCATTTGAATTAGAAGCTATAAGATAAGACGCAGGTACGGTTAGGATGTGTAACGCGTGTCCATCCATCAGCTGGCATGACAACCCATGGTGGTTAGAATAAGCTATGAGAGGACCCGAGTCTGTAGGTCTCCCAAGGAAATGACGAGGATATGCACCAAATCACCTTATGAAGAGCGCTTTCAATCACTTAACCTCTACTCATTACAGTATAGACGTCTTAGAGGTGGCCTAATGGCTTACAATAACCTTAACACTTCTGGACATCCCCTAAAACACTTAATTAAGCTTAGTTCCAACACTAACCTAAGGGGTAACACCCAGAAACTAGAGACACAACATAGCAGAACGGACTGTAGGCACAACTTCTCCTCCTTAAGAGTTGTCAAGTGTTGGCATTTTCTGCCGGCCGAGCTAGTCCAAGCGACTTCCCAGGAGTCCTTTAAGAGGCAAGTGGGTTTATTCTTAAGGACTAAGTATAGTATCATACTATGACTTACCAATTTCTTTTTCCTCTTTTTTTGTTAACATACCTAGTTTTCTGCCTTGAGGTATTGGTGATCTCCTGCTACTAGACACGGAAGCCTGTTAAGCGAAAGCTTCTTCTATTCAGTCCACAACCATTTGAACATATGAACTAGGTGCTGAGAGGCTCGCCTATCACAAGTTTCTTGCAACGATTAAGTAGATAAAACAAAGAAGCATTAGATTCAAAAATTTATTCAAGAACTTTCATTAAGAATCGAATATCAAACAAAGGTTTAAACCAAGTTCCCGTTTAAAAGTTGTATTGGTAATGTTAAGCTGCAGTTTTTGTTGTTTTTTCCAATTGAAAGAGTAAAAGAAGTCAAAAAATACTGGAAGTGGTTGTGAGACTAAAATGGACGTCCAGCATCCTTTTTATAATCTGCTGTTTGTTGGGTCTCCCGTAATCAGTTCCATAGGGCCATAGTTCCAAGGGCGAAACAGTTTTTAGGGTCTGTGAAGGCTCACTCCTGTTGCATTCTAAATGAAAAAAATAGTAATGAATTTAGTCAGAAATGGGGATATATAAATAACCAAATCACATGTTTTTTAGCAAATAATTTATGCAGTTGTGATTTACCTTGAGTTCATGAATATTAGATAAGGTCAGCTACTATTACTTGCGCAAAGCATAACATGGGCTTAGTACCGTATTGCAATGCTTTTATTATTTTGCTCCCATTTAAGTATTCCCATGCATCTGCGTCTCGTTTAACAGGAAAACATACAAGCAGAGTAAGTGTATGATAAACTAAAAGTCCTAGTTATCAAAAAGATTTTTAACATTTGTCCACAGCCAGCTGCATTTAATTGAGACCGAGAACATCTTCTAAGACTGTATACTGCTGTTTTGCGGGCAACTAAATGCTCAGACACTTAGCTATCTTGCTACCGATGTTATTGCTCGGGAAATCGTTTAATAACAGTGATCATGAAATATGGTCAGTGATAGATGTACAGTTTAGAAATAAACACCAAACATGCTTATCGCTATCATATAATATATGACAGCGACAGCATCAAAGGCACGTTTCTTCCTATTTTTAATCAGACTGATCTGAATCCGTATGAACATTAGAAACAGGCAACTCTACTTACTAAACTGATCTGTTTCGTTACAGGCTTCAAGCACTATACTTAAGTATATCATAATTACTTCAACTAAACTGAATTATACGACAACCAAGAACACTAAACGAAGCAATTGTTTAGTGTCATAGTTATTGTTTCCCTTGCAAAGACATGTTGCTCAAAGTAGGTAAATGGACATAATTAGGCCGATAAAACCAAAACACGAAATATAGGCCAGTTGAACTTACCTAAGAAAAAAAGAAGGATACATATATACTGCTTTAAAGCAGTATTCAGTATGAATTCATACTGAAGACAACAGGCAGTTGTTCATAGAAACATAGTTTACAGTACAACAAACCTTTCTTCAGTAAAATCATGCACTGACAGTCTATCTGGAAACAATCAACTATGTGAATAAACTCACAATGACTTGAGATATCGTCTCAGCGTGCAATCGACGTACAGTGTAACGCAGTCAGACGTGGCGAATAAAAATTAAAAACAAAAAAATTAACTACGTAATCTAGTTATTTAATTTAAAATACATTATGAAATGACAAAATCTATGGTTACTTGAACGCACAAATGACTCTGTGCGATACATTAAGTTACATGGTTGCGTTGCAGATAAGATCACCCGTCTTCCTCTACCACTAAGCTTCAACTAATTCATAAAAATGTTACATAATATCTACTGAATAGTAAACGAAATAAATCCAATTAGACCTGTACGAATCGAGTCTGTCTGCTTAAATTGGTTTGTGCATTTTTCCAATACACCAATAGGATGACACCTACTTGACCTTTGGGTATCATTATTTGTAGTGGGAACTAATTTGAATTCTTGTGGTGATCCTGAGGGTACGTTTGAATTCCCTATGAAATTATCTCAGTGTGCTGATAGAACTGCCATGTCACGTAGCTCCATAATTCGTATTTGAAACTTTTTCACATTATTTCTCCTGCTTTGTATCTTTGTTACTGATATACTTAAGCGCCAATATGTTAATCCCAAAATCCGAAGATTAAGATGTACATATTTACCTAATGCTAACTATATGTATTTTCCACGCAGTAATACGAGTTATATCATTATTTCTTATCGCACGTGTTTATCTGCGCCTTTTGTTGTGAAGACTTGAAATGTTATACTATTGTAAAGTTCTGCTTTACGAGTGTGAATATATACTTATTTGAAACCATGAAGTACATCTCTAATTACCCTGAATCAAAGGATTTTTCATAGCCACATTGAGTATGCAGACTACTGATGCTCTTTTAAAATAAATACCTGAATCAATGTGAAGATCTATAAAGCTTTGAAAATTTCAATCCATAATTGTCCTTCTCTCTCATTTTTGAAAAAAAACTTTCATTTTGAGCAGGACTCAAAAACTTTCCTAAAGTTAGGAGATTAGGCACAATACCGCGACCTATGAATAACAAAGTAAACTACCTAGGTTCACGAAGTGAGTCCCAATGATACTTGTAGTTCGTACCTCAGATACAAGTTCATAAGAGGTTTGAAGTTGCATCTATTTGTTTTGTTAAGTTTTTGTTGGTCATATATAGATCCCGAAGAAAATTTAAGTTCGCTTTGCCTTAGAGAACTTTTTTATTCTTCAGTGCATTGAAATGAATACTCTACTTAGTAAGCCGAACCTCGCAAAGGACAATTTTTATGAGTTGCTGGGTGTTAGCAAAGATTCAACGGTTTGCTGCATTTGCTTACTTAACGTTCAGTAGGAAGATCAGATCCTTTATGAATATCGCATAAAAGCTAGAGAGCTCCATCCAGATAAAAATTCGGAACCAAACTCAGGTAGCTCTTCAGCCAGTTTTAAATTCCACTATAGCTTCACTTTTTCAGAAAATTCAGAAAGCTAAAGAAGTTTTGACTAACTCAAACCTCCGTAGCATGTATGATACCTGGTTGTTCAGCAATATATCTGTTTCTTTTGAACAATATCTTGGTTTACAGAAAAATTTTGAAGAGGTATATATATCCATTTTCGTAATGTTTAGTGTATGCACTGGTATTCCAATGCTGATAAAACCCCTCGGATGTTGGATAGTACTTCAGATTCCGGTTTGTTATTGTGATACACTTGTCAACTTTTCTTTTTAGACGGGCGTTTTCTAAACGAAAATAATTCTGATAAGCTTCTTAATATTGTGAAGCTCTTTCGTGCGTATGAAATCTGAGTAAACGAATTTTAAGTGATTTTACTCACAACAATAACTTCATTTTATTTAGTTCAAATACTATTCTTTCATCATTTCTAATCAAGTTTCTTCCATCTCTCACTTTCACAAAATCTCGTGTATCGTTTTAGCTTTACATCAAGTTATTCATCCCTGACAATAGAATAGCTACTTCGATGTTGTACACTTTAAGCTGTGTTTGATTCACAACTTCTCCCTCTGAAAGATCTACTTGTAATCTTTGTGGAGTAGACTATAAAATAAATAAAAATCTTGATTTTTCTTGTGAATTTCTTTACAACATATGAGGCAATTGAAAGCTAAATTTCGTGAAACGTGGTGATCTCTATAAAAAGATCTTAAATATTTTTACTTAAATCATCCCAACTATCACAGTGCCGCACTTATTTATGTAAGAAAAGATGATTGACTCGTAGAAGTTAAGAAAAAGATCGTTAGGTGATGTGTTATATAATTTCAGTCAGCTATTTTTGCCTGTACCTGTATTGTATATTGCTTTTTTCCACTGAACCGATCGGAAATCGTTGGTTCGCATAAAAACTTAATTTACCAGTTATTAAGGTTTCTTTGAAGGTCATAAATGTAGGTCTAGCCACTGGAAATTACTTATCAACCCGCTATTTTTATTCAAAGTTTTCTGATGATGGAAGTCAATCATGTGTAGTAGCTTAGTTATGTTGCATGTTATTTGGGTTACACATAATACTTTAGTATTGTTGCATACTGTTTTTCCTCCTTAATACTAAAAATGACAGCACAATGAAGAAATTGATTCATGGTTTTATTAAATTGGGGGTTATTTTATTGCTTCGACATATTTTCTCGTATTAAAGACTCCCGAGAAACTCAAGTATTCACATAAAACTATAAAGTTGCGTCAGAAGTGATAACATTACGTCTTTGCTTTTCACCTGAGCAATAAGGGTATAGAGAAGTAATAACGCCAAGTAACTTTGTCACCATTCCTTTAATCAATTTTATTCTATTTTATCTGGTATTCAACTACCAAATACAGTTATCTTGTGGATCTCACCAAGAAAGCCTGGAGTCTCTAGCACTTCTGAGGCTAACTATCAGTAGCTTAATGAACTAATGCTGTATATTAATATGACCGTCGTCAGACAAGGAAAATAGTAGGCACGAATTTATTAGATGGTTTTTAAGCAATAACAAATAAAAAGCTCTGTTTTATAATCCATCAGTATTTGGTGCGCGCGAAGACTTTTGTAAGCAGAACCTTATTAATGAAGCGACAAGAATATCTTGAAACGGTCTCTGAGTTGGAATGACTCCTTTGTCGGATACCATTATTGTACATCATCGTCGTAATGTCGAAGGACTAACCTAGAATAGTTCATTCTTTGAAAAACCATATGTACCCAACTACTCATGAATGATTGTGAACGCTACTAGGCGTTGATGTGTCCACTGACATAAGCAATATGGTTGAGATATAGGGCAGAGAATAATAGATAAAGTTGAAGGAAACTTTATTACTTTAGAGTTTTTCAACATATATATCCGCATTGTAGATTAAGAGGAGTTTGCTAAAATATTTTGTACCGAAAGATTTTTTACTGTATTGTAATAGATCCATATAGTAATGCCATTATTATTATTAAGTCTCATTTAGTCCGGTTAACTTCTCTATAGGTTTTTTATTTTATCCCGTTAACACGATACACATTATTTTCTACATCAATATGTTCTTACATGTTCTATACCACAAGTAACCTTTTGCAAAATAAGAATCAATTGCTCAGCGGGGTTGTGACCTTTCTTTATTGTTACAGTAACATATTTCAATAAGGCAATTAAGCGAAAACAAAACTGGTCAAGAAATATCAAATAAAGAACGTCTTTCAACAGCGAGCGAGTTTTTTCCATTTTCATGTTCGTAGAACATCCGAGTAGAATTGGATTGGGGGCACTGATTTCCTATGTTAACGCTTTTGTAGATGGCTTTTGCCAAAGATTAGTATCAAGTAAAGAAATATTTAGAAAAATTAGAAATTTCTGCACATGCTTAGGTCCGAATCCATATCAAGAGCGTCATTTCTAAATTTCAAGAATTACTTATTGACGTGTGTCAATTGGTACAAAACTTCTGTGCACGGCACCCTGACGACTAGTTCTAACCACTTATCATTAAGAAGAATCTCTACAATCTGTCCGTTTAAACTGGTGTGTTTATTAGATTGTACATCACTGAGACAAATTTCGCGAACTTTATTTTCAAAATCTTGTCATAAATTATCTAAAGACACTAGTTTGTGGCATGCACAGTTTGATTCAGTGATGAAGCTCACCTATAACTATGTCAGTATATATGAAGTTATCTTAAGTATTGTAAATTCTCCACTTTTTACTTTGTTTTATGTAAAATTTCGTTTATATGGTGAAAATTTGTATACTATCCTATAAGTTAGGTTTTCATGATATGAACTGTTATCAAATGAACTTAGAAGCAGTAAGGAAAAAAAATGTGTTACAATGAGTTTGATTATTGTTAGCGGGACATAGATTGGATTAAATCATGCTTGCGTTGGCGCACGCTGATTGGCTAATTCCTATCCAATCAGCGTTAGTCAATACTTAGTGAACACTAGAAATCTCATGTGAAAAAACTATAAATATACTAACGTTTTCCTTATTGTGCTTCTACTTCCATCTAACCTTCTTATTTGGAATATAATCTCTCTTACTGTTCAACCGTGTTTTGATTTGGGGACTTGTCGAGTGAATCGGTGTCCGATAATACTAAGCAATAGGAATAGCTGGGTTGTAATAAAAGAGAGAATTACAACAATTATGAACTTGTTTAAGCCATCTATTATTAATTATCTTCAAAGAAGACAATAAGCAAAATTTAGGAAAAATAAAATGGGGCTAAAGCCAATAAAATTATTTTTATTAATATAAATACTAAAAACTGACCGTAAGTCGGTGACTTATTTCACACTGATAATAAGTTTTTAAAAAATTTCGATTCATCAAGTTTATTAATGTATATATATGAATTTATTTTGAGTATAGATAAAATTTTATTGTAGTTGTTTTTCTAATATTTAAAGAAAAGAGTTAGTAAACTGCATTGTTAACAATCTTTAGCATTTGATTCCCAACGTCTGAAATCAAAGTGTTTGCAGAATTCATTACAGGATCTTGTAATTTAATGTAAAACTACATTAGTTAAAGCTTTTGAAAATTTTCAGTTTGCTCTTTTAACTTAGATTAACTGAATTTGAAATTTTGCTATCAGGTTCACATATTTATCGGGATATTTGAGAAAGATTTTCAATAACTTAATTTGACTGATGATGTAATTAAAGTAAAATTGAAAACTATGCCTAGTCGGATCCCAATTATTTGTTGCTATCTATTCTGTGTGTAATCATGAATGGGGACATAAAGTTACAAACTAGGATAAATCAGTTGTCCAGTGTGATATTTTGTGATCTGACTGGTTTTGATCTGTGGTGAAAACCTCTTTCCAATGATAACGAATCTTAACAAAACACCTAATTGAATAATAAACCATTCTCTTCGTAGATCTGGAAAGAACAGCAACCAAAATATAATTTTTTATAACATCTCACAAATCATCCTAGTGGATTTTGCAAAAGAACAATCAAGAAGAAATAGATTTTACTTTATATTTCCTGCAATATGAAGAATGAGGTAAGGAAAATATTTTTCTTTACTTAGAAGAAAAGTATAAACACTTCTGATATGCTCAAAACATGTTATTGCATTTAGTTTTAGTGTTCATGCACTTTGATGCTGTGTGCGACTGGAAATACGTTTTTATGTCTAATACTTTACTTATTATGGCATAAAAGTTTAATAAATTCGAATCCTCACATGTTCTATTTGATTGTATACATGGTATTACTTATATATGAAGATATATTGACTGACAAAGTAATAGCAAAAGTTATATAATGAATGTTACTTGGAAGTTCCTTTAGGGTAATGACCACAAATGGAGTCCACTCAATGACTAATATGCTCCTGAAAGTTTGGCACCAACGGTATGAATCGAAGTATTAATCCAATAATGTTTTCCAAGTAGCTCATGCCAATAATCTCACGCAGTGTAGAGTGGCCTAACAAGGTAGTTCAAAACTTATAGTCCTAAATCACAGGTTTTGGTCAATAAAACAAAAGAGGAAACGACGCAGATAGTATTTATTTGAACACCAAAGACAACGTAGGTATCAATCAGTCAATTAATAATGTCCATTCACAATTTATACAAATAAAGAATAGTTACTGAATATAAATGTGATTAAACATGGAACGTCACCAAGAAAGAAAAAGATTACTTCCATTTACATGTCATTATATTATATAATGAAGAATATTTGGGTTAACAATTGTCTTCAGTAACTTCATCATCACGCTCTACAGTTATAAGTCCATAATTATGGTATTTTACAAAGACCAAAATAAGGCATGTATTAACGAATTTGACAATGTTATATGTTAAAAATGGTGAACGTTTGCATCTGTTACGATATATTTACTTCGAAATTGTGTTATCTGTAAATTAGAAGTGTCATTTCATAAAGGTCAAAATGATTTGAAGCGTCATGTCACAATCAGTATAATGGTGAGAAGCCGTGACCAGTGGAGGCCAATCCGTGTCGGGTAGAGACAGACGTTCACCTCTGACAATCGATGAATGGTTCCGCAAGATCGATTGAAGTTAGACATTAACACTGTTGGGTACCGGCTCAATGGTCTAGAAGTTAGATGTTCGTGCGCGAAACCGAAGGTCCTGGTTTCAAGTTCGGCGTGCAGAATTGTGAATTCACACGGCTGAGGAGTCTCATGCTTTGACGAAACAGCCGTCCAATGCTTCCAGGTTTCCTATGATATCTTAGCTTAGATCGACTCGTGAATTCAATCACT